GGAGAAAAAATAAGCGAGTATAAATGCCATTTATTCTCATAGATTTTTTTTTAGCATTGCTAACCATGATATCATTCTGAGCAGCCTAGTAGATTTAGGGGCATTGCACTTTGGTTCCTGTCTGTCTCAACATCTGGCTTAAGCACTGCTATTCCACACAGCAGCAATTGTTTGTGGAATCCCCTGCAGTCTTCATTTGTCCTCCAGGCTTTTTAATAAATACAGTACATGAAACTGTTGGAAGAGATCGTCATAATATTTGGAATAAAATGTGAGTACACTGATGACAGTTCCTGCTTCTATATATCAACATCATTAAGCAATGTGTATAGATCCCCTTAGTGTTTGCCTATGAATAATAATCGGTTAGAAGATGAAGGTAAATATATTGAAAATGAATGCAGATAAAACTGAAGAAGTTACTTCAAGAGGGGATATTATAGATCCATGATAAATCCACCTACTCTAGATGAGCCATACTCTCCTAACAGGAGTACAATTTGGGAATGATTCTAAAAAATGATTCTTTGTAATTGCCAGGGGAAGTTTGTGGCCAGAAACTCTTGTTATCAATTCCAACTGGCACACTAGTTGCAACCATTCCTAGATAATAATGGCTTTAAAACAGTGGTACTCTGGACTTGAATTTTATAATATGCCCTACATAGAGGTGCACTTATGTGTAAGTCAGAAGCTTCCATTGGTTCAAAATGCAGCAGCCTAGTTGGTTCCCAGGTTATATCTTACACACCATGTTATATCAATGTTATAATGCCACACTTACTGGCAGTTCATTTTGGGGTAGAATGTAAGATGTTGTTCCTAAAGTCCTGGATGGCTTTGGCCTGTGATACGTAAAAGAATGCCACCCCCTTCAAGATTCATATTATCTCTTGAAGACACCTGGGAAGAATGATTGGAGATGGCCTGATGTGAAACTCACTCCCCAGGAATATGGGGCCACCTATCCACCTGGTACATCTTTTCCAATTGAGTTTTAACAATGTCTAATTGCTTATATTATTGTGAGATTTGTTGTTTTAATATGTTTAATTTGACTAAACCACCAAGACGCTTTGGGAGTGATCATTTTTTTAAAAAAATCAGATGAACAAATAATGTAGCTCCCCTGACAGCATAATCTTAATGCATTCACACTACACTGAACATCTAAATCTAATTGTATACACTGTTATATCTTAATAGCTTTTTGGCTGCCTTGATGCTTAAACTTCAATTAATCCTTAAATTGTTTGGCTTAGCAATTAATTTGTGTAGGAGATTGACACTGACATCTTAATATGCAAATATATAATACTGAACATTTTATAACAGAAATGGAAGAAATCTGTAAGAGTTAATATTGTACACATTATCCTTTCTGAGTTAAATTGTATGATAATAACTCTGACATTTAAATAGCGAAGGAAAAGGCTGCGCCGTGATGAGCCAAAAGTCTTTTCACTTACTATAAATATTTTTTTTCCTAAGCTCATTCTTGAGTGAAAGTATAATATTGAACTGACCCTTTTACTTATCATGTGCATTAATTGTGTTGATGTTGTAGGAGGACCATGTTAGTCTATGATAACGTTTGATAAAAGGTTCTCCCCTTTAATAAAATTTGTTAATCAGAAAAGATGCTATCAGATTTATTTGTTGGTGCGCAACAGAAGGAATGGGACAGTACATGAATAATGCATTATTATTCAATTCTGAACCTCTTGGCTCTACATTAATATCTCAAAATGTCACCAGGTGGAAAAACAATGAGTTCTGTAAATTGGTATATGATCTATTGAGAGTTGACAGTCTCATTTCATTCTTGAAAAATATGTCAGGAGCTGGAATGGGTGAGGAAAATAGATGTGGCCAAGCTGTAATTATACTTACAAGCTATACATGTGTACACTCTTAAGCACACCCCTTACAATCCTGTTCACATACACACACATACATCTATTCATAATCACCATTAAATTGTTTTCCCAAAGCTACCTGTAAGATCACTTTACTCTGTCTCAATATATCTTTAAATCAATTATTCTTCTTCCATTGATTGATGTCATATTTTCTGGTTTGTTGATTGTCTAATGCTTGTTGAATTTTGATTCTGGAAACCCTGAGCCTCCAGAAGACATTCCTGCAGCCAAGAAGAGTCAGCTAGTCAGAGGTCAGGAAGAAAGAAAGAAAGAAAGAAAGAAAGAAAGAAAGAAAGAAAGAAAGAAAGAAAGAAAGAAAGAAAGAAAGAAAGAAAGAAAGAACTGAGCAGGGAGAAATCTACACTGCTGCTGGGAAAGAATAAATTAAACCAAAGAAAGGCTTTGACTTTGGGTTTATCTACATCAGCGGTTCTCAACCTATGGGTTGTGACCCCATTTGGGGTCGATCGACCATTTCACGGGGGTCGCCAAGCAAGGCTGTCCGCCATTTTTCCCCCTTTTCCGGCGGATGCCTTACCTCCCTTGAGCTGGGCCAGCTGGTGGTCGGTCTGCTCCGTCTCTGCCGCTTGCCAGCTACGCCTCGGCCGGCGCAGGGGGCGGAACCACGCATGCGCAGCGCTCCTGGGCAGGGAAAGTCCTCAACTTATGACCGGTTGGGTAGTCCTTGACTTACGACCGGCTTAGTCCTCGACTTACGACCGGTTTAGTCCTCGACTTACGACCGGTTGGGGGGTCGCGGCATTAAAAAGGTTGAGAACCACTGATCTACATCTAGATAAATACTTGTCACAATGTTTGAGTTATAAATCAATGCATTTGCCAAACTTTATTCAGCTATTGGAATAGCCACTACAGCTTATGGTTCGAAGTCTCCTGAATGTAAAATAAATAAATGATTGTTTCAGAAATTCAGTGAAAATGTCAATATTTCTGTATAATATATGTGTCAAATATAGGCCACATTACTTATAGAGTGATAAAACTATAAGCATTGTAGATGGGAAAAAAATAGCTTAGCCAGAAAGATAGAATTAGACTGAAATCTGTGAACATCTGGATTTGATTCTGTGGTCAGAAAGACATTATAGCACTTGATCCCTGTTGTGATGGATGAAGGAACTTGGATTCAGTGATCTCTACAAATGTCCTGACCATCTGCTGGACAACCCACAGTTTTATTATTTTCGGTGTTAACAAAAATCAATTAAAGCCAATAAATTCTTGCATTTTGGTTGATTTGATAATGTGAATGTTAACAGCTTGGTTTTCAAAGATTTTTTTTGTGATATGATAATCATATTTCTTACTTGATAGTTAAGTTCTTTGAAACAGTTACTAGTCATCTCTTTGCAAAAAGGTTTCATTAAAAGAAGAAAAATCATTAACAGGATCAATAAAGTACCAACCATTAAACCTTACCTTTCTATAGTTGTCTATGACTATGTTATGTTAACAGATTTATATGAAGGTATAGAAAATCAAAAAATCCACTCAGAGGTATGCAACCTGTGGCACTTCATAGTATTGAGCTACAATTTACATCATCCACTAACATGTTTGCTGGGTCTGACTGAAATGAAAGTCTAATCATAATTTGAAGACCACAAATTGCCAATCTCCACCATAGATATAAAATTTTATTAGCTCTATTGATAACAGAAATGGAAATATAAAAGAAAAAATGGGAAAAATATTCAAAATACTTTTTATCATGGCAATGGAAAGATCTGCCATGAATATCTTATTAATTACTAATAAAGGAGAATATTTGTAGCTCAGGGTTGAAATGAGGGGTCCTTGGTGCTCTCTGAGCTTGGTTGTTTTCTTGCAGACGTTTCATTAACCAAACTAGGCAACATCCTCAGTGCTAGTATTGCCCTAGTTTGTGTAATGAAATGTCGGCAAGAAAACAAGCAAGCTCAGAGAGCACCAAGGACCCCTCATCTTATTAATTTAACTGCAGAAAGTAACTCACAGTTGCAACTACTGATCTCTCTATTGGTGAAAGGTCAATAATAACAAATTTTGGCATTCCCTGGATGATCATAATTATGGGCATGTGATTCACAAAGCTGCTTGGCTATATATTCATCAGGTCATTTCATTTGTTGTTTCCATTAGCCAGGCAACCATCCCCCCAAGAGACCAAGAGGACTCTTTCAGTGTGTTTAATGGAATTTCTCTGATGTAATTGTCAAAATCCTGATTGCTCTACATGGCAAGTATTCCAGAAAGAATATATGACATAGAACAGATGGGCTGCTTGCCTTCTCAGTTTAAGCCCCCATTTTATATTTATTTTTAAATTATGCTAACTATATTAATATGACCGTAATTGTTTGACTATGGTGTAATTAATTAGGGAGTTGACAGTTTCTTTGGATCCACAAACTTCCTGAAACTGTTTAGTTGGTCTGAAGAACACATCAGCATCCAAGAATCACTCTAAATTGTTATAAAAGCCTATGCGAAGTAAAATCATTGTACACTATAGTTACAACGGTGAGATCCTTATATCAAGGCCTTTGTGATGAGAATTCCAGCTCTCTCCTACTTTTACTCTCTATAATTCCCTTTTGTGTCAGCTGTAACTTTGAATCAGGAAGTTATATTCATTGGAGAATGTACAATATCAATGAACAAATGTAATTTTTCAATGAATTTAAACTTAAAAATCTTATGATTCCACTACAAAAATGTGTGCATACTATTTCACTATGTTGTGAGTAATCGGCCGATAGTACCTTTTCTGAGTGATGCATACATTTAAGATAAATCTTTATTTAAACTTGTATTTACATATAAATGAAAGCAAAACGAAGTATTATTATTTTGGTAGATTTAGATTAATATTATAATACTGACCAAGAGTGTGTAACATTTTCTTTCTGGAGGATGAGGAGCGGGAAGGGGAAGGGGAAAGGGAAGGGGAAGGGGAAGGGGAAGGGGGAGGGGAAGGAGGAGCAGCTTGTTTTCCAGATTTCAACTTTTGACTGTAAATATACTTTCCCAATACTGGAGAAGCCACACTGGTAGTTCCATAAATTTTCTATTATTTATTTTGTAACTGCACCTAAATCACAATAACTTGTCCAACACTTGGCTGCCAGACCATATAAAATATATCTTTTACTATTCAACACAGTCTGTTTTCATGGCCAGTATAAACTAAAGGGCATGTTTAAAAGACACAATAGGCTTCTGTGTACAGGGAAGGAGTCTTTGTTTTCTTGTAGAATAAATTGTTTTCCACATAATAGCATCCACTGTATGCATTTTCTATGTCCCTGGTTCTTTTGTGTTGCTGGCTGAACATTCAAACCAAGAGCCATAATTCTTAAGTTGACCTTATTCTATATTAAAGAATCACTGACATAGAAAAATGACCCCAAGAACCCGAATGAGAGATTTCTAACAACATATGTTCCCATTCCTCACCCTCACAAATGGTTACATCTTCAACAACAATGTGCAATTATACATTCTGGTGTCTGTTGTATTGCTTGGTACAACCCCATGTATCTATGTGGCTTCTTCTCTCAAATGAAATCCATTCTAATTATCCTTGGTTGTAGCAACAGCAAACCATTGGAAGGTTGTCCCTAGCTGCTTCTGCTTCTGGAAGTTCTGCTGGAGGACATTTGCCCTTCCTGTTCTTTTTGCTGCAGCAGGTTTGCCCTTAAGAGTTGCATTCCTCACAGTGGCATGAGAGGATGTAGCGGTAGGTGGCAGTAAGTCTCATACCACCAGAGCAGCGCAAGCGCATGGCCTTCAGTTTAGAAGTCTGTGGCCGGCAGCAATGACATGTGGATCGGAAAGGCTGTTTCAGAACTGTGCTGAAGGACACCATTGGCTCTGAGCGTGAGGTCTGAGTGCACTGTCCCTCGCAGCGAGCTAGCAGCACCATCTGTAAAGGAAGGAGACCAGAAGGTCAGAAGAGAAGAGTTAGTCCTAAAGAGTGCAAACATATGACACCAGTAGAAAATGGTGTATGATTCTTACACCCCAAGTCATAAACTGGTGAGGTCTTATATATGTTGCTGAGCCATTTTAAAGTCTGTATAAAACTTATAGTAGTCCTCCTTGCACATATAAAGAATCATACTATAAAAATTATATCATGGAAATTGCATATTGTATTAACTGTATAAGCATATGCATGGTATGTCAATATTTTAGTGTATTTTTAATCAACCTCATTCAATTTAATAAAAAGACATTTCTTTCAAAAGCAGAACAAAGCTTGTATATTGATTGATGCGTATATTGATGGCTGAAAGGTATGTATGTTCTGATTTCCAGTCTAGGTATTTGCGCCCTGACTTCCCACATTTAATTAAATTTTGAGGGGAAATCCTATGAGGAACTCTCTGGAAGGTTTTTTTTTCTCCTAATCAGGATTCATGGACAGCCAGAAAAGCTTCAGAATGACAGAATAGCATGCCACAGAGACACAGACACTCAAAAGCAGTTCTCCACAATCTCACAACTGTAAACTTTTATACCATGTGTCACCTAAAGAAAGGGAAATTGTGAGGTCACACTGTAAAATAACCTAACTGAAATGCTGAATATTGCAAAACTTAAGTAATTTATTATGGCAAATGTGTAAATTAAAAATAGTGCATCATCTGTCATTTCATAGAACCTAATACAAATTCAGATTCTAGACTAGCATTGTCAACGGCCTTGGAGTCAAGGTTTATGTTTGGGTGAAAGAATAACAATGAAGAGTTCCTTAATGTACACTTAATTTAATTAAAATTACAGCAGTTGAACCCCCTACACTGTGTAGGAATCCATTAAATTAGTCTAAATTTGCAGCCATCTACATATGCTATGGAGAAAATAAGACTGAATTTTAAGTACAATTGTGCACTGAGAAATATGTAATTGCTAAACTGAAATTTGAAACAGAGCAAAACCAGGTTAAAGAATGTATGATAAAGTGGACTATGAATTTTGGTTTTAATATACAGATGGAAAGTTTGTAATTGAAAGCACTGAAATTTAGACTGTTATAATTTTAAAGAGGATTTTAGTAAAATGATGTACTATTGGGATATGTCACAAGATAAATTGTCTAAAATGTTTAATAGCACTTCAAATTCAAACTGGAAACATGTACAAACAAGGGACATTTTATCATGTTTGGTGGACATGTAAAAAAGCTAGAAAGTTTTGGATTCAAATATACACATTGATTCAGAGGATTTTAAAGATATACAACTGAGAACAAAAGTCTTTTGCGATTGATGGAGAAACTATTAGGAAAAACTCATGGAACTTTGTTATGATATGTTATAACTGCAGTGAGATTATTGTATGCACAAAGATGGAAAAAATGTCCACAATGAAGGAATAGTTGGTGAAGATGATGGACGTTTCTGAGATGACCAAATTGCTTTTTTGATTACAGAAAAGGCAATATCTATGTTTATTGTTGAGTAAAAAATCCCTTATGGGTTTTTGCATAGAACAGAAATAAAAACTTTGGTTAAACTACTACAAAACAGGAGACTGTGAGTTCTAGTCCCTCTTTAGGCATGAAACTGGCTGGGTGTCTTGTGCCTCTCATTCAGCCCAACTCACCTCACAGAGTGGTTGTTATGGAAAAAATAGGAGGAGGAAAGAATATTAGGTATGCTTGCGTTTTTTTATAAAAATTATAAAAGCGGGATATAAATAAAAGCAAACAAACAAACAAATAAATAAATAGTGGATCACAGGATAGATTGTGGAAAGAAAAGAGTAATGGTGTAACCATAGAGTAAGAGGGAAATTTATAATTGTACTTATTTTGCAAGAGAACAAGATTTTCTCCTGAACGCTATAAATGTTTTCCACTGTAGAAAACAGAGCAGTATACATTACATAATCTACTTTCCCCTTGTTCAATTTGTCTGCTATTTGAGAACTCTCTCCTATTATATGAACTGAAGTTTATTGAAATTTTAGTTCAGCTTCTTCCTCTACATGAAGTGGACAGAAGCACACATTTTTACATCACTTCAGGTGATAAAAGATCATTTTATGATAATCTTGCATAACATCAAAACATCTCTGGAATTAATCTAATTTTATAAACAATTATGTATTGATAATTGTTAAGCCAATATTTCCTTTTAGAAAATTTAATTGTCCTTCCTTACAAGTTTGGTAATGCTTGTAGTAATTTCACAAAGGTTGAGAAGTTTCCAGCAACACTTACCTTTGAGCTGCACTTGTATAAAGGATGGCTGATAGAATCAACATAGTGATGTCTCATACATCGCCCTGGGTCCGCATCAATCATAAAGGTACTATCCTTTTTACTGCCTGTATCTCCCATTATTGCCAAAAGGGACAGCATGGAAATTGAAGCGGCAAGAACATGATTTCCCATCCTTGGAGAATGTCTTAGGAGTACCGGTAGAGGGAGATAGAGTATCAGAAGCCCTCTAAAGACTGAGGCCCAGTCCTTTGCCAAGAAAGCAGAAGATCTGTTTTAAGTCTCTGGGTTGTCATTGCTGGTTTGGGGTTAGACATTTGCTGAGGTTATAATCCATCAAAACATCCCCTTCATAGCTGGAATAAAAATAAATAAGTTACAATCCTGGAAAACAGCACAATGGCCTCAAGAGACGAATAGGCATAAATTACAATGCAGCTCAAAATGCTGATGTGATCCAAGAAATACTTATGGAGTAACCATTGTCCCATGTAAAAAAATATAATGAAAATAAGGGTCAAACCTTGCCATGCTTAAGGCCTCTTCTATTGACATTATAGTGGTGAGGATTTTAACTTTTAATCCCAAAGAATTGTTTTTAGGTGATGAAATCTCCACTGGGATCCAGCTTAATGAAAATTAGCAAGGCGTTTGTGGTTTCTTAGAACCACATGTAAATGCCTGTATATCCACATGTCAGAATAAAAGGCCTGTTTTAAGGGTTTAGAATTTAGATAAAGACAGTGTTTCATCAGAGTTGCTGGTTTTGGCTTCAAGAACAGGAGAAATTGGATTCTTCCCTTTCTTGAGTGGGTTGCCTTGTCATTACAAAAGCATGAGTTCCTCAGTTATATATTTGTGTCTATAGGTTACTTATGGAATTAGTAGATATCATAGTGTTCGCAAGGAGAAAGATACATGATCTGCTACACTTTATGTTTATTCACAGAGAGGTAACTGTGAATGTTTACCCGGTGATATATATGTAGACATGAGCCACTTGATAAATCAACAGATAAATCTGATCTTGCAGCTACCATTCAACTGCTAAGCTTATTATGTTCATTTCCATTAGCATATAAGAGCTGTCATTTCTTGCTGTCCAGGCAACCAGCAAGAAAAGAGACTCTCCCCAGTGACTTCATTATTCAAGGACACAGCTACATCCTCTGTTCCAGCTGCTCGGTATCTCCCCCACTTTCTTTATCTCCATCCAGGAAGGCAACATGAAGAGTTAAGTGACTCATTTTTCTTTCCAACAAAAATCTAGAAGTTGGACACTCCAGTAGGAAGGGGAAAAAAGTACATAAATTCTGTTCACAAAGTTAATTTCTCTGTGAACCTGAGGCCCATTCTTAGTTAGAAATAATATGGTGTAGTATACAAACTGATGTACAGAAAGAAAAAAAATAAGGCACCTCCACGGCCACCATTTTTGTTCCCCAAACTATCAAAAATTGTCTTCACACAGTCATTCCAGAAATACTATCCTATCTGGGTAAATTAAATAGTGTCTCCTTCAGCCAACTGCACGATACTGAACTAGCAGTTCACCTTACCCTCGTCCTTAGCTTGCTGAGCATTTTCACAGCAATTTGTTTTCAAACTGGTCTCACTGTGAGGGAAAGCTCTCAAGCCATCTTTCCACTCAACTGAAAAAGCTTGGGGAAGTGCAGTGTGGCACCAGGAAGCCACCAAGAAGCAGAAACCCAAACTGCGGCATTACCCTTTCAGACATCCTACTCAATGGTTGAATCAGAATTAAATTGGTTCAGTAAAGTGTTGGAAATGCAGGATGCTAGTGAAAGCTAATGCTATGCCAGTTTTGTCCCCACCATCCCTGCTTCTCATTCAGTTCGATGGGAAAACTATTCCACTACAGCTACTAAGAAAAAAGGACATGTTATCTTAGCACTTCTGCTCCTTATGAGATGACCGAAGAGGCTCTTCTGTCTTCCATGTTGTACCCTCACTATATCACTTTGCAGCTTACATGGCTTCCCACACCTTAATCCAATCCCACTGAAACACATATGGGGGGATTTTGCCTGTGGGGTTTTTTCTTCTTCAGAATCATGAAAAACCAGGAAGGCTGCAGAGTGTAGAGAGATAAGAAAGATAAAGCAATAGCAGCAGCGTCTACCGTTTCTGAAATATTTTCAAAAGCCATTTTAAAAACGTTCTAAATAATTAAGTAGAGAAAGTGTCAGACCAAAGAATATTGAAAAGCACTGATTGTACTTCCACTGCAAAAGCTACTCCACACTTGAAAATTTGGGCTCCCTCCTTGAATTAATGGAAAGATTGACCAATGTTACCTCATGCATGTTTAATAAGATTTAATATATAGCGATAACAACAGTACTTAGATTTATATACCACTCCACAGTGCTTTACAGCACTCTCTGGGTTGGCATATTACCTCCAACAATCTGCGTCCTCGTTTTATCGACCTTGGGAGAATGGAAGAATGGCTGAGTCAATCTTGAGCCAGTCAGGATTGAACTTCAGGCTATGGGCAGAGATAGCTTGCAATACTGCATTCTAACCACTGCGCTACCAGGGCTTCCAGGATATATATGCTGTCACTATGTATTATAATAGTTTTCCTTTCTCTTTGTTCTGTTTTTATATATTGCTTTGTATGATGTGGTAATATTTTTTGTTTTCATTTTGTATATTGCAATAGTAGTGAAAATAATAGGATGTGGCAGTATCCTGAGACAGCAGAATAGAAGAGAAAGAACTGGAAAAGACAACAAAATACAAAGACCTGCAAATAGAAATAGAACTGTGGCAAAAGAAAGCAAAGGTTGCGCCAATAGTAACAGATTCCTTGGCTGCAATCCCAAAACAATTGGAGCATCACTTGGACACCATCAGCATTGACAAATTCACCATCAGTCAATTGCAAAAGGCAGCTTTACTTGGAACAGCTTACATCCTGCCATGATATCTGTAACACCATCAAACATCCACATCTGCCCATCCCAGGTCCTTGGGAAGGACTCAATAAGTAGACAAAAATGCCAAATCCAGTCTGAACATCTGGTTGACTGTGTGACGAACCATAATAATAATAATGCAGCCCAATGATGATCTTTGCAAAAACAATCATTAGGGTCTCCTAGGCCACCTTTTCCAGTCTTTTGTTACATGCCCAAAAGATGGACTTCAATTCCCACAATTTCCAGCTAAGTCATAAACAGCTATTACCAATAGTTGTACTCTGAACTCTGGTTTAATTACTGTATGTGCTCCTCTACGCTCATACACCACTGTATATTGATAGGCCTCCTTCATAAATTGGCACACATACATAATCTAAACCTGTAGATACCAGGAAAGGGGGCACATCTCAAAGGCATCCTCTTACTTCCCCCTTGCAAATATAGAGAGCTACTTATCCTGTTAGGAACCACTGTCTCTCCATACTTAAAATATGCTTTAAAAATATTGCACAAGAAAGAAGACATTTGAGCAATGAATAATTCTTGGAACTGTTTTCTTTATTATTTAATTTTCCAGACTTTTTTTTATATTCTGAAAGTCATATTATGTTATTAAGCCTATTATATGCTAGGATTTTTTTGTTTAATTAGTTTAATGAATCTAATCTTTAAAATGAAGAGGGCTTATATATCTATTACTAAGATAGTCTTTTGCCCCTTATAATTTTATTGCTGATATTATTTTTATTGAACAAGTTGTAGGTACAGTGAGACATGATGGTCTTGCATATAATGGAAGACTGGAAACTCATGTCAAATTACTAAAATAGTGGATGTCCTCTTACATCATATCTATTTGGGACAATGAAGATTACAGAGTCATGCTAGCCATACAGTTTCTCCAAGTTGTGCTTTTAGGGCCGAAGTGTTTACCTGTAGATTCAAAAGGGAGATGCAGCGAACTTAGTAAATATTTGATGTATATTAACTGTAGAAATGGCTTTGATTCAACCACAGACTTGTAGCACAATAAAGTGTTTTTAGAAAAGTGAGTTTTGGCTTCTCATCAAGTCCCAACTCAATAAACAACTTGGCAGAGAATGCTGGCTCCAAAATTACTAAGTTCAATTTTTCCTTTACATCATCATTATATCTATGATATTACATTTTCTTTTCTTGCAAATAGTTTCAGGGATACATAAAACACCTAAATATGAGGCATGAGTTAGAAACTCAAACTGACACTCAGATTTATTTGGCATACATATGATTGGAGAGAGACCATCTCATTTATTTTTCTTCCTCCATAGCACAACATGCTTTTTCAGTGCTGTTTTAGGGCACGAAGGAACTCTTTCATAAATGCATATAGCTTTTGACATCGATGTCATTTCTGCTTGAATCAGAATAGGCAGCTCAATTTTGCCTGCCAAATCTGAATGGCA